AGGTTTTGAAACCTGAGGCTTGTGGTGCCTGAGATGTTGGATCTCATCCCTCAAAGCCTTGTTGACCTGCTTCAGAGATTGGGCCCTTCGGGTAAGCCTCATGCTTCAGGCTTGAAGCTTGATGAGGGATCCGATTCATGAGGTATTGAATCGATAGCGAGCTGCAGTTTTGAGATGGGCCAAATGAGGAGAAGCCGACGCAGAAACAGCGTGTATGATGCCGCGAACTAAGAATGTCTTCAACAAACCTCAGACTGCCCACAAACAAAAACACACAAAAAACAACAAACAAAATGAAAGCTTTCTCGCGGAAGGAACCGTTGGTCAAACCCTGAAGAACGCACCTGTGGCTGTAGCCTTGCAGGTTCAGTGAACCCTTACAGCTGAATACTGCTTCCGCCTTGCAACATTCATACATCATTAGGACTGTAGCCAATATTAAGGGAAGTGCATGACCATGCTGTAGGCTTTGTGCAGGCACAAACGGACGAGGTGTGTTGTGTGCAGTAATTGTGCGTGCTCGCAACCTGAAAACTGCTCATGTGCTTCGCAGTCTCCGATCGGGAAATCCGGCGTCATTGGGTTCACGTTGATTGCATCCAAGGAGTCCAGTGTCATGCGGCCCTTGGCCGTGTCCACCGTCACACCGCCCCAAACGCCGTGCGTGTACCTTAAGATGCAGATAAAGACTGCCGATGCTGGACAAATGTGTGTGCGTGTCTTTGTCAAAACAAGGTGCCCTTTGTATAGCCCCCCATACATCAGCTTGTTGAAAGGCTCACAAGGATACACTTATAGCAGGATACTGGGAGGTTATGCATGGGGCCTGAAGTTGTCCGAGATTGGGATTGAGATGGAAGCAAGCGAACGCCCTTACCCTGAGGAGGATGACCTCCCTGAGGACGACAGAAATTACGAAATGTCTGCAAATCACTTGCGTAAAGCAATGGTTTATGACTGGTGCCTGCTTCCATTGCAAACCCCTTCCAGTCGTTATGGCTGTAATTCCTCGTTCCAGCGTGCAAATTCTGAGGGTTCCTATCTGTGTGAGGTATGCTGATGCGTGTGACTTTGAACACTCACATCGCAAAGCTGGAGAATTCCAGGAATGACTTCTGGTGGCTTGGCTACATGCCTACACTTCGCATCCTGTTACTGATAGATAGGGTGCAGAACAGTCATTCTGACCGCTGGCCTGTCTATGTGCTAGGAACCCTCCAAAACATTTTTGGCGCATCTATGAACATAAAGTTGAATAAGGGGAAGTCACGCTGCGAAAGCTGTCCTCCAAGACCAAGTTCTTCAATTCATTTCCCTCCGGTCTCTTCCTACCACCTTGACCTTCTCACCTTTCTTGACACAACAACGACATCAAATAATCTCAGGGAGGACGGGACGCTGGTTGCCACCATCCTGAACAGCCTCAGGATCGATCTCCTTTCGCACGGCAAGGGGTTCGGGCCTAAACTCTTGTCCCAGCCCCGAGTTGGGTCCCGCGCGGGCCACTTTTTTGGCTAATGTACCCAGAAAGCCCCATACCCCCTAAATAAGGAACGTATCTTAGATACTATTTACTATTAGGATTCCTAATATGATTTAAGGTATATTCCTTAATGTCAGGGTATTGGGCTCCCTGGGTAGGAATCCCGTGGTTTCGAATGTGCTCTTTGGGGCTTTCAGTTTTTGGCCACGGATACCGATTAGTCACCGCTCCGCCCCTCCACCTGCCGCATGTACTCCTGCCCGCACCTAACATAAAGAGTCTTCCAAAGTTGGGGCAGAAAGGCCGTCGCAAAAACAAAAAGCTTAGGGAAAGTAGGAGTAGGGCCTTTTCTTTTTGCAAGGGCATGCTTAGGGCTTGGCGATAAACCTGGTTCCTACCTGCGTACATTTGATCATGCAAGATCCTTCTCGGAAATCGAAACAAAATGGCCGCGCACGAGTTGCTTGCAATCCCTGTTGTGACAGCTGCGAAATAAGTATCCGCAATCTTGGCCAGCTACGTCCTGAAAATGTTGCAGCCGTATGGTTTCCTGTGATTTGCACTTCCCCGGTTTTCATATGATAGTTTTCATAGATACTGGGACCCCAACTTAGACCCCAAAATACCGAGGTAAGTCTCCTAGAAACCCCCCAAAAAGGTATCCTAAAATTGGAAAACCCCGATAGCTTTGCTGCAGTCAGAGACGTGTGAGGCACTTGCAGTGGTTAGGCGCACTTGGCATTGCTTTCTTTTTTTATTTGGGGATTTCCCAAAATTAGGGTACCATTTTGGGGGTCCCTATAATAAGGATTATAGTATTTTGGAGTCTATATTGGAGTCCCCTTATTTAGGGAATCTACCATTTCTCCCCTGGAACCCTAAACCGTGATCATTGTGATCCGGGCCCCCTATACCAACCGGCCTGGCCCAGCTTTCGCAGGCGCCACGCCGAGCCCACGTGGCTTTTCAGCATTGGGGCCGGGCGGAAGGTTACCTGCAACATAACCCCCTTTAGCATATTATAATACATCATGGCATGATATAGTATGCTATAGTACATTGTAGTATAATGTAATATGTTTTAATATAACTATGATTTGGGAAGGCGTCTTCCTGGTAGCATGAAGCCATGACTTGCTTGAGTCTGAGGCCCTGGTTGTGAAGGCTCTTTTGCACCTTTCTACGTGGCTCCTGGCTGGGCCCTTGACTCTCTCTTGTCAGGGGCCGACCTTGTTGGGTGAGGGCTGCACACAAATGATCATCCACCGCAGCTCTGGCAGACCGTCTGAACGGGGAATCAGCAGAAGAATTAGCAAAAGCACGCAGGTCAGCAATATAGCAATTCAGCGATAACCGTATCATGTTTGTAGCAGCATGATGCTGCATATTCTGTTGCTGCTATTGCTACAATGTACCGCCAGCGAAATTACATAAGAAGTCTTGCAAATGATTTCCTGGTAAAAAATCGTCAGAAGCAGTACACCCCAACCCCGCCCCCCCCCCCCTCCCCAATTTCCCCACCATTATTCCGCGTGTCATTCTTACGATTACGAATCATTAGTACATAATAATTGCTCTATGTTACCCTTGCCATCCCTTTTTCCACTACAATGACTGCTATTACTAACTATTGCTGTTGCTAGTTTCTGCCCGTCTTCCCATAACCCTAAACCCTAAACTTACTAAACATACCCTAAACCCTAAACACTAAATAGTACTTTCGATTTTCTTTTCCATGATCCCATTATNNCCATTATAACCCCAATATACTATAGAAGTTTCAATCTTCTTTTCCATTATCCCTATAAGATCACGATAACCCCAAACCCTACACCCTAATCCCTAAAACCCTAAACCCCAAAGCCCTAGAACCCTAAACCCCGGAACCCTAGAACCCCTAGAACCCCAAACCCTAGAGCTCCAAACCGTAGAACCCCAAACCCCGGAACCTTAAACCCCAGAGCCCCAGAAGCCTAGAATCCTAAACCCTAGAAACGTAGAACCCTAAACCCATACTAATAGTAATAATAAAAATAAGTAATAGTAACAGTAATAATAATAGTAACAGTAATAATAATAGTAATAGTAACAATAATAATAATAGTAAAAGTAATAGTAATAGTCATAGTAATAGTAATAGTAATAGTAATAATGGTAATAGTAACCGTAATAATAATAGTGATAGTAATAGTCATAGTAATAGTAGTGGTAATAATGGTAATAGTAACCCCTATTTCGCTGACAGGCCACGGAGCTAGACTCCCCAATCATGGTTGGATGCTTTCCCACGGTGACGAAATCCAAATCCAGGCTGTCCCTGCACTTAGGGTGGGGTTTACGGTTTAGGGTTTAGGGGGGTGGGG